CCCGTTCCTCCTTACTGGGGCCTGGAAGAAGCATTCACAGTGCCCAACATAAAGCGTGCTGTTTAGGAAGGCAATTTATAAATTCATGTTGGGAGAAAAGCCAAGAAGAGAAGGCATTACAAAACACTCATTCCCTGGGAAGGAACACCTGAAGAACTTTCTGTTAATTTTGTAAAAGTTTTTCATGTAATTAAGTTCCAGGTGCTAAATCTTTCCCCCATTGTATTGATTGTGCCTCTGAAAAAAAATCTTTGCCGACTACAAATTTATTCTTTAGTCTTTGCACCTTTGATGAATGCTGGGATGATGTCTAAAAAGAAAAGGTCTACACAACAGATTATTCAAATAAAGTGTGATAATAGTGTCCACACATACACTCCCCATCAAGTGGTACAATCCTGACACTAAATAAAAAGTAAAGCAACACAGTTATCCCTTTTCTTTAGTTTCTCACATGTGCTGAAAGATAACAGTAAATTTCGCATGGGTAAAGGAAACTGCATCTTGAGATTTTACATCAGAGGAGTAAGGTATCTGAATTGTGATGGGTACTGTGTACCTGCAAGCATGTGTCTGTGTACTTTTATGTATTTGTATGTTTGTCTCCCTGTGTTTGTATCTGTGCATAATTGTGGGGGCATTCAGTTTCAAATGGAAAGATCTGAAAAACTAATTTTTCTGGAGAAAGTAATTAATAACCTCAAAAAATGTCTCTATGATTTTCAATTTCACCTACAGGCCAGATCACAGTCAGTTCCAATTATTAGCATTCTGCACACATGGGAATCTGATGAACTGCCTCACTTCCATGATATAATAGTTCATATTCAAACCCAAACTAGGTATATCGCTTACCATTCTCAAACTGATTCTGCGATGAAACATGCTTGCCTGATCTCTATGGGAAAATCCATATTCAAACCTCCACCAATGCCATTTCTAAACACTGGTCATCTTCTATCAATTTTCTCCAAGCATATTTTAATTATTCCTAAGAGTGCTCAACAGAGGTTTGGAAAAGTTACAATAAAGACATGTCAGCTTCCAGGTTAGACAGGGACTGAGTCCAGCTGCATCTGCTCAGAATCCAACCAGAATGAGAAAAGCAAAATAAAATCCAGGGCAAGTTCAGTTCACACAAACTTTTGGGAAGTCTTCGCTTGTTAGGTTACGCATGGATCCCGACTAAAGAAAGGCACTGGGAACCTTGTTGGCAGTTCCACTTTCCAAGACAGGATGTAATATTTGGAAGGAGGAGGCTGAAGACAGAGTAGGTCTTGAGGCGAGCAGTGCGTACTCGACTCATTACCCATTTAACTGTTTTGGATCAACAGTACTCGGAGGCCCCCGACAAACCTGGCCAAGCCAAACAGAGGAGCTAGTATATGGCAAGTTTTCCCCTGATGCAGAGGTTCTTCTCTGATGGAGTGGGCAGAGACACCAGGAAGAAGGCCAGCCATTGGGACCTCATGAATCCTTGGAGTGGACACCAACAGAGACTGGGTCTGCAGAACTGAACCCTGCCTGGCACAACTACTTCGATAAACAGAGAGCATCTTTCAGGAATTAGTTCAGCTTTTAAAGGCAAAAGTCTTTCAAGCCTTGTAAGAGACCAGAAGTGAACAGATAAAAAGAAAGTTAGATTCAGAAGATTGATAAAAGGATAGATGCTATCACAAACAAAATTAAAAGGCATGTGAAACACCGAGAAAAAATATTTCCCTCGTATGTAGCAGCAGATGGTTGATATTACGAAGATTTAAAGAGTATTTGCAAATCAATAAGAAAATAACCACCCTTGAATAAAAAAATGGGTAATAATCCCAAAATTTTTTAATGAGTATCCAAAAAAGAGTTCTATATGACAAATAATATATGAAAAAATGTATCCAGCCTCACTGATAAAGAAATGCAACTTACAATGGGACTCACTTGCCCGACCAGAGTGGCTCAGTTTGTTGAAGTGTCATCCCATGCACCGAAAGGCTGGGGGTTCAATTCCCAGTCAGGGTACATACTTGGGTTGCAGGTTTGATCCCCAGTTGGGGCATGTACAGAAGGCAACTGATCAATGTTTCTCTCCCACATCACATTGATGTTGTTGTTGTTTTTTCTCTCTCCCTTCCTCTCTCTAAGCATGTCCTCAGGTGAGTACTTTTTTTTTTAACTTGACTCAATTTTTTACATATAAAGTTGGGGAGGCATATTCAAATGATACTAACCTGTTCTGTCTAGGTACTGATCCTAATAGTACAATTTGGTACCAATTTTCTGTAGAGAAACTTGGCACATGTATCAAAGCCCTTAAAAAATGGGCATATTCTTTGATGCAATAATACCTACCACTTTAGAAATTTGCACTAAGGAAATTTTTAGAGACTTGGACAAAGATTTAGTCACACAGCATTGTTTGTAACGGCCTAAATATATAATAATCAGTAATTGCATGATAAAAATAAAAACCAATCTACAGTGGAATTCTGTATAACTATGGAAATGTGATAAAGTAGATGTGTATTTCTTATTATGGAAAGAAGACTGAAAATATGGTGGAAAGAAAATCAAATTACAAAAGAGGATGTATAGTGCAATCCTTTTTGGTAAACATCATTTATGTACAATAGGAGTACAGGCACAAAAAACATACTTATTAACTAGACAACTGCAAAAAGTCAAGAAGGGTATATACCAAAGTATTACAGTGTACTTACAGAAACTTTTTCTGATTATTTTACACAATAAACACTTAGTTTCAGTAATATAAAATGTATTTGGAAAAAAAAGAAAAACAAATGAACCAGAGACTTCAACAAGCATGCAGCTACTGAAGACATAGTAAAAAAAAAAAATCAATGTTTCTATACAAAAATAATTGTTTAAATTTTAATTTGAAAAGATGTCATTCATAATTGCAGTACTGAATAGAATATATTTAGGTCTGAATTTTGAAAATATATGCAGGACTTAATTATTAGAAATCTATAACTTTACTGAAGGGTATAAGTGGATAAGCCATACTTTTGATGTGGAAAGACTACTATTGTAAAATATAAATAATCCCCAAGTTAACAATTTTTATATTGAAATTAAAATCCTGGATGGTTTCATTTGGAATATGTGAAAATGAGTTAAAACTTCTATTAAGTAAATAAATACATAAGAGTTGATTTTTAAAAAATACATGAGAAAAAGGAGAGAGAATTTTCAGTATCAGATATTTAAGTATACTATAAAGTTATAATAAATAAATAATATCTTCAAAGCTTAAAAATAATAGATAACCTAAAGTTAATAGCAAACCAGGAGGAAATCAAATTCCCTGTAAGTAGTTAGAGTATGATAAAAGTGCTACTCAATTAAATTGGAAAAGGATGAATGGCTATTAAACAAATGGTGCTGAGACAACTGGTTAAGCATTTATTAAAAAATAATATTAGACATATTTGTCATGCTATACACTAAAATAAGTTTTAGGTGACTTAAACTGTTAAATGGAAAACTACTTCTATGATTTGGGAAACGGGAATGCCATTCTAAAAATAAAAGCGAATATAGGTTCTTAAGAACAAAGTTTGATAGATTTAAATATATAAAAACTCAAATCATCTAACAACACTGCAATGAACCAAAGTGAAAGAGAGTAAACTGGAAAAACATGTATATCATATACAAAAAAGAATTACCAGTCTCACTATATAAAGAGCTTCTACAAATCATTAAGGAAAAAACCACATTCCATTATTGCAAAATGGGAAAAACTTATGAGCAGAAAATATACAAATGCCCAATAAATGTACTGAAAAATGTTCATCCTCAATAAAACTAAAAAAAATGAAATTGCTAAATTGGTACCTCTATTCTCCTACCAAATTGGCAATGATATTAAAAATAATAGTACATGTTATATTGGTGACCATGTGGCAAACTTACTGCTGTGATACTGTACTGGTGGGAATGTACATTTATACAGCCCTAACCAAGGGAGAATGGACAGTATGTATCAAGAAATTCATAAATTTTCACATCCTCTCATTCCGAAACTTTATAGAAATTCTTCCTAAAGAAGTAAAAGGGGTCCCAAAATACATGTGTTTACTATGACTTAGCTAATAAAAGAAACCTGTGTCCAACAACGACAGGTAAAATAAGTTATGACACAGGTATTCAATAAAATAGTATGAAACTAACATAGATAAACAACATATCTATATTATATACACAGTAAAATGTATAGTATTTCATGATATAACAAATGAAAAATGTAGGCTACAGCACAGCCAGACACCAATTTGGTTAGAAGTATGTACAGATGTGATACTGGGCAAATGTTCAACACTATGTAAACAGTGGCTTTTTAAGGGTGATGGGATTATAGGCTTTTTTTTTCTTTTCCTCCTTTCTGTTTCATGATTTCCACAAACATTGGCTTGCTATTATGTGTCAAACACTTCTATATATTCCAAATTTTCTTCAACTGAATATGTATTGCTTTGTAGTCAAAGTTAAATTTTGTAAAAGCCCATCATTTAAGCCTGACTTCCTCTTCCAGATACTAAGAATCTGCAAAGGTCGCAGAAGGTATGCAATGAAATGCATATTGAAAGCATAAAATAGCGTATAAGAAAATTGGGGAAATACGCACTGCATGTCTTATCTTTAGAGACATTTGGTAAGACACACTCACCTGTTCCAGCTGAAGCACGGCCTGTTCTTACAAGTGTGACTAGGTATGGCATCTTAAAGACACCTTCCCAAGGGCGTCCGCAAAGATGACCACTTAAGGAGCCTGACATCCAGCTAACCATTTAAAACCCGTTATCCCATGGGACCCCCACGACAATGGGAAGGTAGTATGACTGATTTTGTGCAAGGGACACTAGACTTAGGTGGCTTGTGGCTTGCCCAAGGTAACAGCTGGGCAGGCGGTGGTGGGTGGGAAGGGCCCGGGCTGTGGGGAGCGGGGAAGCGGGGGCCGGGTTCCGGAGGGGCGGGAGCCTTACCGCGGCTTGCTGGAAGGCGCCCTTGGTGTAGGTGCCGCCACCCTTGTAGGTGATGGCGGGGATCTCGCGGCTGAGCAGTGCGCACTTGTGCTGGTGCGCGCGGCGGGAGGAGATGTAGTCGACGCGCGACACCACGTTGTTCTTGGACGAGAAAGTCACGATGGCCACGCGTGTGGCCGTGGGCACCACGGGGAAGTCGGACAGCAGCTTGCGGACGAACTTGAGCTCGCTGAGGAAGTTGGCTTGACCCACGCTGGACGACTCGTCCACCAGGAAGACGAGCTCCAGGCGCTCGCTGAGCTCCCGCAGCCGCCGCA